TAAAATATGGACTATTTTAAATAATCATGTTCTCTTTGTAGTCCAAACTAAAACTTTAATCAAAAATATTAAAGTGACATAAAAATTAATCAACTATCAAACTAAATCTTCAAATTAAATTGAAGAATACAGGAGAAAAAACTGTAGAAGTCCATTATTTTTATTGTGATTTTATGGTTTAATTCCATAACCTACTAGCAATATAATATAATATTAATATTAGTATCAAGTTTTGAAATCCAATCAATAATAAATGTTTTCATTTTTTTGAAGTCAACAAAAATGATTATTTTTATTTTGTATTTATTTATTATTATTTGTTTTATCATTTAAATAATAAAATTTATAACTTTATTTTTGCTTTCCTGAAAAATGTTCAGAAATGGACAATTACCATTTTCCTCATATATAATACAATTTATCTCAACTATTGAACTCTATTATAATAATTAATTTATGTATTTTCAGAAACTCTAAATTAAAAAATCATTTATACAACTTTAAATGATTAAAAAAATATATATTTTCTTAACTAAAAAAATTTGTATAATTAGAAAAGAGAATCTATAAAAGAGCCTTTATTTTTCGTAAAATCTAAACTATTAAAAAAATTTATTAAATTAGATTTAGACAAAGAAAAAATAATTAACGCGTTGGTTTTATTGCCTAAAATAGTATAAATTCTTATGATTTTAAGACAACGCTCTAAAATTATACGGTAATAATAAAAAAACTATCTTAATAAAAGCACTGTTTTTAATTATAAGTTATTGGTTATAATTATTACAACCAATTATTTATACAATTTTTCTAGTTTTCTTAAAACTTTTAGATTGTAATTTAATTATAATTTATTCAGTGGTTAAATATAATGTAGTAAAAAGTTAAAAGCTTTTTAGTATCTGAATAACGCATGTAATTAGTTTTTTATTACAATGAACAATTTAATCCTGTAACGTGAACATAAAGATATAATCGCAATATTTTTGCTTCAAAACCGGTAGTTAAATTAAAAATAATTGATATTTTATGCAATATTGTAGCATTATTGGTTTAGGTAGTATATATTTTAATTTCACTAAATCCCTTTGAGGATTAACCGAAATATGACACTGAATTTAATTATAAAAGTTTTAATTTTTACAATTTTATCTTTAAGTCAAACGCGTTAACGATAACCTTTAGGAACAATACCAACTACTTGATTACGACTGTTTGTAATTCTCGAAGAAAATGAAGATTGTATTTTGTATTCACAAGTGGCATCTTTTGCAGATGATAAGAATAAGTAATTTAAGTTTTAAGTAGAATTTTTTTTTAATTAACAAACATACAAAATCGTTAACTTTTAGAATATTCAATTTTTTAAATATATTTCAAGTAGTTAAATAATAAACAGCAACTTTGTTTATGAAATTATAATGACACTTTAAATGTAAAAATGGGTTGAATTTTATTTAAAAAAAATGAAATTTTTTTATCAATTAACAATTCAAAATTCCATGAGATAAAATAAATTGAAATATTTCACTGAAACTTTTCATGAAATATTTCAAATTAATTAAATAGTTCAAATATAAATCAAATATGAACACTTTAAAATTTTTAGTTTAAACTTAAATATTTGTAACAATCACAATAATTGTCTAAGGATAAAAAAAAAATTTAATTTATAATTATGCTTACCTAAAAATTTGTAATATTATGTAATATAATCTATTTTATTTGGAATCTCATTTAAAATAATTTCTCAGGTAAAATTATATAGGTTTTCAGTAATATAATAATTAATTTGAAAAGCTTATTATGTTATGTTTCTTAGAGCTCTTCTTGACCTTCAGTAGACCTCAAGCTGAATTTAATAACAACCCTCCAGTCTTCAGTTTTAAAAAACTTACATTTTTACTCCAGTTATCAAGTAATAAGAAACTTTAATTACAATAACAATTGCCCGTTAAAAAAACAAAACTAAATTTAGTCTTTATATCAATGAAATTTGAAGCTGTTATAAAATTCCAAATTTCACCATTTTATGAAATATTTCAACATCAGTTTATAAATTTCGAAATAAAATATATCATTAAATCATTAAATATAATAATAAAAGTTAATAAATATATGAATAAAAAGCTAAAGTATAATTCATTTGCATATTAAATTTCATACTTATATTAAAATTTTACATCATCTATTATTTTATTTAATATTTTCAGATGATTAATGTATGATAAATTGTGGTTTAAAATGTTTTCCTTCGTAATTCATCCTCAATTAAATTATAATCTGACTATTCTTTAAATATAAAGTTGATAAAACTTACAGCAAAAAAATCGCGGTATTGTTATTTTCTTAAATTTTGCTTAAATAAAAACTTTTATTGTATAGAAATTTAAATCTACTAAATATAAATTCTAACATTTTCTAATTATTTATCTCTCTACTTATATACGTATTTTCTGAACTTAGTTTTAAAAGCACTACTATTCATTTTGATATTCAAAAAAATTTTAATTGTAGTCAATATATTATCTTTATAAAAAAACTTATAGATTTAATGTTTATGTAAATACAAGTGTTTTTATGATATTAGACTATTAAATTAACTCAATTATCCAATGTAAAAATATTGCAATGCAAATTTGTTATGGAAATGATTAAACAGCTGACGAATATGACAACAATATGTTCATCTGATATAATTTGATTCATAATCAAAATAACTATTGTATTTAAATATCTTGTATGTTAGTTATTTCAACATTTTCAAAGGCAGCATAACATTTTCATTTCTTATGAAGTATTTTATATGTAATCCTAAATATATTTTTTATAATTACCAAACTCTATTATATTTTCTGATA